ACAATGGGTAGGCATGGGAAGAAGTATGGGCGAGGGTGGGTAAGCGTGGGGGAGGGGGAGGGGGGATATGGGTAGGCATGGGGAGTATGGGCGAGAGTGGGTAAGCGTGGGGGGGGGATAGGCGAGAGTGGGTAAGCGTGGGAAGTATGGGCATGGGAAATATGGGTAAAGCCGGGGAACGTGAGCAAACGTGTTATGGGCATGTGGTGGGTAGGCGTGGGTAAGCATGGGTAAGCGCGGAGTGTGGGTTCGGCCCTTCCCTCCCCACCCCACCTTTCCCCATCCCACCTCTCCCCTCCCCACCCCACCTCTCCCCACCCCACCTCTCCCCAGCCGCCGCCGTGTCGCCCCCAATTGTACCTCACGCTGGCGATTGCAAGTGGCATAGCCTTTTAAACTCCAGCTGTTGCGGCGTATACATTAGGCTCTCCTTCGCCTCCGCCTCGGTCCCGCGAAATTAAGCGAATTTATGGCTGTATTTTTGGCGATTTATTCGGGGCCGCTTATGTTAAATGGCCGTTTTGCTTTCTTTTTTTTTTGTTTTTGTTTTTTTTTGTTTTTTGTTTTTTTTTGTTGTTAGGTTTTGCGGTTTGATTTTTGGTTTCTTGTTTGTTTGTTTGTTTGTTTGTTTGTGCGATTGGGATTTCCTCAATTTGTTTTTTTTGTGGGATTATTTTTCCTCAGTTGGTTTTGGAAGGAAAGAGGAATATAGACCGTATTTAATAAAGAAATTTTGGAAAGGGAGCCGTTTATCTGACCCAATTTTGGCTTGTTCATGTCGGCTCCAAAATCTCCCTTCGCTCCGCCCCCCCCCCCCTCTGTTCCTCCCTTCATTCACTGCCCTTCTCCTCTTCCCTTCTCTTCCCTTCTCTCCCTCTCCTTTATTCGGTTTTTTCCCTCCCTCCCTCCCCCTCCTTATCCTAACTTCTCTTTCCCTCCCTCCTTCCCTCCTCCTTATCCTACCTTCTCTTTCCCTCCCTTCATCCCTCCCTCCCTCCCCTCCCTTCCTTCTTACCCTCTTTTCTTCCCTCCTTTCTCCCTTTTCACCCTCCCCCCCTCCCCTCTTTCTACCCCTTCTCCTTTCTTACCTCCCCCTTCTTTATTAATTTCTGAGTTTATTTATACGTTTATTTGTTTATGCTTGCTTTCCCCTCTTCTCTGACGTTAGGCATTGGGAGCGAGGGCGGTTGAGCAAGCTACGTATACGCTTGTGCTTTTATGTATATATATATTTATTTATTTATCTGTCTATTTATCTGTCTGTTTATCTATTTATTTATTTGTCTGTGTGTTTGTTTGTTTGTTTGTTTGTTCGTGCTTTTCTGTACATATATTTATTTATCTGTATATATATCTATTTATTTGTTTGTTTGTTTGTTTGTTGTTCGTGCTCTTCTGTACATATACATTTATTTTTCTATCCATTTATCTGTCTATTTATTTATTTATTTGTCTGTTTGTTTGTTTGTGTATTTGTTTGTTTGACTTATTTGTAGGGAGGAGGGGCCCACGCGCCCCCAAAATAAGCTCTTGTACATTGGCGGATGTCCTTGTCCGTGCCAACATTGCAGCGGGATGAAGCGTGTTTCGTGCAAGGTGTTGCAGCGTTCGAATTCCGGCGGAGGATTTTTTTGTTTTTGTTTTTTTTTGTTTTTTCGAAGGGTGGTGTTGAGTTCAGGAAATGTTGACTGTTGGGTGGGATACTATTTTTTTATTAGTTATATGGAAGATAATATAATCATTGTATTTATTGTCGTCGTCATCGTCATCGTCTTCATCATCATCATCATCATCATCGTCATCATCATCATCGTCATCATCATCATCGTCAGTATTAGTAGTAACATTAAAGTTATAATTAGCATGTTATGTATCTATATATTTATCTGTTTGTCCGTCTGTATAGGCCTATATGTGTATGTTTGATACATATGTGTATGTATATGTATATGTATGTATGTAATTATGTGTGTGTATGTATGTATGTATGAAGTGTGAATATATGTGCGTGTGTAAGCGGGTGTGTGTACGTGCATATGTATGTGTTTTCTTGTTTAGGGGAAAAGGGCTGGAAATGATTTGCATAGCTTATCCGCACACCCCACAGCGCTATCCCGCGGTTGTGTTGCAGATTGCAGAGCGGTTAATAATCGGTAATTTGATCGAGAGAGAGAGAGAGAGAGGCAGAGACAGAGATAGAGACAGAGGGAGAGAGAAAGAGAGGGACAGACAGCCAGACAGACACAGACAGATAGATAGACAGACAGACAGACAGACAGACAGACAGACAGACAGACAGACAAATAGATATACAGACAGACTTACAGACGGAATTACAGATGGACTTACAGGCAGTCGGTCAATCTGTCTTTCTGTCTGTCTTTCTCTGTCTGTCTGTCTCGGTCGGTCGGTTGGTCGGTCGGTTGGTCGGTTAGTCAGTTTGTCAGTCATTCAGTCAGTCAGTCAGATAGACAGAGAGAAAATATAAGAGAATATAAGAGTGAGAATGAGACATAAGAACGAGACATAAGAACGAGACCGAGACCGAGACCGAGACCGAGCGCACGAGCAAGATGCCGGGCGCGAGAGAGCGCAGGGGCGTGGGAGAGAGGCTGCCCGGCACTACTGAACCGCCGAATTATGAGAGAGAGAGAAAAAAAAAATAGGAATGCGGCCGGATTTTAACACCCCCCCCCCCTTATTCCTATTTTACCGGGATATTTTCTCCCCCCCCCCCCCAACCCATGTTTCTGTGGGTTTCTGCTTTGCTTATTCTGTTTTGCGATATGTTTTTTATTTTTTTATTCATACATTTGTTATATGTACAAATACAAATGTATAATTAGATAGATAGATAGATGGATGGATGGATGTGTATATATATAGCTGTAGATATAGATATAAATATGACACACGCATGCAAACACACACACGTGTGTGTGTGTGTGTGTGTGTATGTATGTATGTATGTATGTATGTATGTATGTATGTATTTAAGTATGTATATATGTAAATATGTATATATATGTATAGATAAAAAAAGGAAAGCGAAATAAACGATTGAGAGAGAAGGAGGGAGAGCGAGAGAGCTGTGGCTCCCGCTTCATCTCGTGGCTCTATTAACGCTGGCCCGGAAGCTAGTCCACCTCCTTCTTCTTCTTCTTCTTCTTCTTCTTCTTCTACTTCTTCTCCTTCTTCTTCTTCTTCTTCTTCTTCTCCTTCTCCTCCTCCTCCTCCTCCTCCTCCTCCTCCTCCTCCTCCTCCTCCTCCTCCTCCTCCTTCTTTTCCTTCTCCTCCTCCTTTTCCTTCTCCTCCTCCTTTTCCTTCTCCTCCTCCTTTTCCTCCTCCTCCTCCTCCTCCTCCTCCTCCTCCTCCTCCTCCTCCTCCTCCTCCTCCTCCCCCCCTCCTCCTCCTCTTAGGCACAGTATGTTTTATTATAATTTTTTATCTTTACTTTTTGATAATTACTTCTTCGTTAGGATTTGTTTGTTTCTTTTTTCACTTTCTTTTTTCTCTTCCTTTTATTTTCTCTTCCTTTTATTTTCTCTTCCTTCTTTTTTTCTCCCTTCCTTTCTCGGGGATAGGATTACATTGGCGAATATAACGTTCTTTAATTTTGCCTTGTACGTCTTCATTGTTGTCTCGTTGACTCCCTTCCCTCTCTTATGTCTGGGTGGGGGAGGGGTGGGTTGGGGGAGAGGGGGGAGAGGTGAGAGGGGGGAGGTAGGGGTGGAGAGGATGGATGTAGGGGTGGGAGGGGCGGGGAGAGGGGTAGAGGTGAGAGGGGCGGGAAAGGGGTGGGGTGACGGGTAGGGGGAGTTGGTTAGGGGTTGGGGGTTGGGGGTTGGTTGGTTAGGGTCAGGCTGTTTGTTATTTTTTGTTTCATCTGTTTTGACTTTGGTGTGTCATCGTCATCATTATCGTTATCATTATTATCATTGTCCAATATAAGTAACGTCGATATAAGTATGTATTATTATTATCCAGTGTAAGTGACATCATGATCATTATCATGGCTTTGTTATTTTTGTTTTTGTTATTTTTATTATCAGTATCATCACCATCATCATTATCATCATCATCATTATCATTACTATTATCATTATCATTATCATTATCATCACCATTATCATTATCATTATTGTTTTTGTAGTTATTCTTTCTTTATTATTATTACCACTAGTGCATTTGGCAAATGTGATTTTTTTTACCTTCTGGTGAAACAGATGATCGTTCATGCGTGTGTCATAGATCGTTATGAATACTGATTAGTTCCTTTTATTACGATTATGCGGGTGGCCTTTGTGCGAGGGTGGGGAGAGAGAGAGAGAGAGAGAGAGAGAGTGAGAGAGAGAGAGAGAGAGAGAGAGAGAGAGAGAGAGAGAGAGAGAGAGCTAAGGAGAGAGCAAGAGAGAGGGAGATATTGTTATATGACATAAACTGACATATGGCATGATATTTATATTGAGGATACCCATACCAACATAAAGACGAAATAAGAGATAGGCAAAAGAAAAGCCAGAGCGAAAGAAACAGGGAAAAGAACGGAAAGGGGGGGGGGGAGGGCGATATGCGGAGTAGTAAAAAGATGGTCGTAGATATAAGGAATGTATCCATATTTCCTGTGCTTGCTTGACTTCTCCCCCCCACTCCCCCTCCCCTCCCCTCCCCTCCGTTTCCTTTCCCTCCTCCGAGTTTACCTCATCTGTTCCCCGTCTCCCAACCCCCTACCCCCTTCCCCTCCTACCCCCTTCCCCCTCCCTCCTACCCCCTTTCCCCTTCCTCCTATCCCCTTCCCTCCTATCTTTTTCCCCCTCCCTCCTACCCCCTTCCTTCCCCCCTTCCCCCTCCCTCCTATCCCCTTCCCCCCCTCCTATCCCCTTCCCCCTCCCTCCTATCCCCTTCCCCCCCCCATCCTCCTCCCCCCCTTCCCCTTACGAGCTTGCCCTACGAGCGCCTGTGTGATCACGACCCTTAATGAGGTGTTTGTCTGTCCGTAGGCTGAACCGCCGCCGGCACCCCGAGTCCGACGACCACGACTGCTACGGCCGTTCCTGCTACTACGGCCGCTCCTACTGCTACGGCCGCTTCTGCTACTACGGCCGTACCTGCTACTACGGCCGCTCCTGCTGCTGCTACGGCCGCTTCTACTGCTGCTACTCTTCCAGCTCCTCCCGAGAGCCGAGACTGTGAAGCAGCTGCCCCGTGAGACTTCAATATGACCGATACATTGTGAGTTGTTTGTATTTCT